AATATTGCAACAATGTCTGACATCAAATGAATTTGATCTTTCTCAACATATTAAAACCATGTTTGAAAGGCACATATCACAGCTAATTATCTGGTTTGTGAAATACTTTAAAAACGAAACTTTTATTGGGTTTGCATAGATTTGAGGTCCATTTAACTCTAGTGCTCCATCTGAATTTATTTCTGTGGAAGAGGGGAATGTTATTGAGTTATCTTGCAGCAACAGCTTGAAAGCAAAATTTGGCTACATGGAGTTGACAGAATTTTGGATTTCAATATAGGATGAATATATCCTTCAAGTGATTAGGCTTCGGCAGATTTTTCAACCCATTTTTGATGTTGTATTTGTGAAAAGCTGGATTTTCAGGTGTCGCTGTTGTTGATTTTTCCCGTTAAATCCTATGTAATATACCTGACTTTGAATCTAAAATTTCTGAACACAAAACCTTGTCTAAAACTTAAAGGTTTATTCAACTGGAACTTCAAAAATGATGAAAAACTTAACATCATAAACGAAAACTTAACATCTTAGGTGGAAACATTCAACCTTTCCAGGCAATGCTTTAAACTGTCAGTTATTCCGGAACGGTGAAGAACACTTTCTTTAAAAGGACAAAATCCATCTGGCCCTTTCGGCATGTATCTCCATTTTAGTTTCGCTGGATTCAGACTTCAGCTCCTATGTGTTTTGGACTTAAACGGCCTGACTGGAACCGGATCAGGACTGGAACCGGAACAAGATGGGAACTGGAACAGGACGTGAACCAGAACAAGACTGGAACCGGAACAAGACGGGAACCGGAATCTATCATTCCCTGACTTCTACCCCGGGCAGGTCTACTCTGGCTCGAACTAAAAATGAACTGCGCCACTACCAAAGAAAGCACCTCCTTTTATTGACGGCGGTTGCCGTTACAACAAATGATTATGCAAAATATTTAACACTGTAATAAAAAGCAAGTATAGAGCAAAAATCAATGTGGAGACGGAAATGAGGGTGACCATGTTCAACTTAATTCCACAATTTAAGAAAATGGGCAGTGATTTTCAGACTCATCTGTCACAATTCAATGTTAATAAATTTTAAAAAAGTGTTAAATAGTAAAGATGCGAGTTTTATTTATTTTTCTCTCTTACATACAATTTGGTCATGCTTTTATTTAGGGTTGGGCGCCATGGAAAAATTTTAATTAAAAATATGCTCTGCAACTCATAAAAGTTTGGGAACCGCTGCTTTAAATAGCAATTCTATAATTTTGCGAAATGTTTTACTGAAATCATATTTGCAAGTGAATCAAGAAAACCTATAAATATTGATTTTTCCCTTTGCATTTTTTATTTTTTGCTTCTTTATGTATAATTCAAATTATTGTTTATGCCTCTTTTCAAATAAAAATTGTTTGATAAAAATTATTTCTTAAAAAAGTAGCATTTTGATTAATATGAACTGAGTATTTTTTCATAACTTTTTCATCTTTTTTGTACATATTTTAAGTAAATAACAATTGAATTATGAAGTAAATTATGAAGTTTACCATAAACTAAATTATGAAGATTGCTGTTGCATATTAATAATAAAGTAGTAATAAAATAGCATTGTTTTTTTATGCTTCTTCAGTTATAAAAACAAAAAGTTATCAGTAAATATAGAAGATATATATGCGCATATGCTTCCTCCTAAAAATGACTTGCAACAAAGTAGTTGGCTGTTAAGAAATAAAAGGATTTCATGTTTTGTAAGCAGGGTCTATCATTTTTGCCTAGCTGATGATATGATTTCCAAAGATGCTGTATGTAACATTCCAACATATTCTTCAGAATTTTTTTGTAAGGCATGAAGCTGCAAACTTTTCAGCTGTGGGAAAATTTTTGCACATAAAAATCTGTTTTAACTCATTGATTGCTAGATAGGATTGTAAATTATGTGCTCAAAGTACCATTTTTTTTTTAAACCTTTACCTACGAAAATCTTTTCTATTTTAATATCTTCTGCACACTTTTCCTCCTCCCCTAAAGTACTGAAAATAAGGTTTCAAAATTATATTTGTTTTATTTTTTATTGCTAATTTTGTTTGCATATTTTGTTAGTTTATCTCTGCAGCATTCATTGTAGGAAGGATTTACCTTCATATGCAAATGTATAATATGTGCAATAATTTCTCTTCGTATGCAAATATACAGTAAATAAGAAACTTTTCTTTAAAATGGTCATTGTTTGAAAACAAAATTAAATTTATCTATTCTTTGAAATCGTAATGTATCTTAAATCATGAATAAACTTTTAATGAAATAAAAGAGAAAAACTGGAAATGTGTGTGAGATAAACTATTCCTATTATCATCTATGCATAATTGCCAGTACAGTGCATTGTATATGAAGATAATAACAACAGAGATTAAATTTCCATAATTGTAGAATGCATTGCTAAAATATAGTGAAAATTATATATATGTTTTTTTTTTTTTTTTTTTTTTTTTTTTTTATTTAAAGTCTTTATAGTTTCAGCCACTTTAATTATATGTTAATTGTTAGACAGCAGCAGGTTTTTAGTATTCTTATTTTGTTGTAAAATTACACAAATTGTTGCATAATGTAGAATTTTTCCTTTATAGCTGTCAATGCTACCAAGCTTAGTAAAGATGGTTTACCTAGAGAGCTTTTGCATTTCTTAGATGAACCAAAAAGAATTACAATCATTCCAGTTTTAGATGCCATTTCGGAAGCCACACGTACAAGTATGTCTGTATTTGATATTTAATTTTAACTTTTACAGTTCAGTATAAATATATAAATTATGTATATGTGTGTATGTACCTAATTTGTGATTATGTACAAATTTGTAATTAAAATTTTAAAATAAATATTGGGAGAAAAGTTTTTTTTTTTTTTTTTCCATATTTTCCCATCTAATTGGAAAAAAATATAAAATATCTTTGCCATTAAAATTTTATATGTACTATTTAATCTTTTGAAAGTTATGTTGCCAAATTTAAAGTATTTTTAGAAGGTTCTTTAAAATTTAATTGAGGTTTTTATTTGCAGTTTTGCACGTTGCAGGTAGCAAAAAAAAAAAAAAAAAAAAAAAAAAAAAAAAAAATTAGAGGTTTAAATTTAATTTTGTTTGATCAGATTTTAAATTGCATTTTTTAATACTAATGCCGACTTAATCCATAATTATCTGCTAAGTATCACTAACATTAAGGTACTACAGTCAAAAGTCATTAATTCAGACACCCATAATTCGGAACTCAAAGCTACAAACTTTCTGCGTCGCGTTGACGCATGCGCGTAAGACCTTTACGGCTGCGAATATGGCTGTGCGCATGCGCATAATACGTTTACGCATGCATGTTTAATGTATAACGGACGGTATAAGCTAAGCTAAAATTATCTAATTCAGTTAATCTTCGAATTGGATTCGGCTTATTATTTTTTGCAGACTGTTAGAGCAATTTTATAAAAGTAAGCTTGAACTTTCGATTATGTCAAATAGAATTTCTGATATATATTTACTAATATGTAAAGGATCTACAAAGCGAAAATATGTTTCGAAGTTCATTAAACAAAAAGTGGAATTGCTGTAAAAAATGGATAAAGGCACAATCCTTTGTTTATCTAACCATTCCGAAATCTGTTTATCAATTTCACGCTGCTCTGCGGCGGGGAGGGGGAGGGCACGCAATGATTTGAAAGTTGATCTGTTAGCACTATCCTTATCTTCAGGGCAGATGTTTTTATTTTATTTGGCTTATAATTCCTTACTAAATGTAGTATTTCATCTCGATGTACTCCGTCTTTGATATGATTTAAATGAAATTCCTCATCATTATAATTCGCTTCCGATAGTGAAGAAAGTGACACAGAGGTTATTGACAACGAAAAAATTTCGATTGACAAATTAATCGGTATTCTCAACACAGCAATTATAGGACTTCAACAGCGAAACTTTGTAACTGAACAAGAAATTATGTCTGTTTCAGAGAATTAAAGAGAAAGTATTATCACATAAAATGAAGCAACTTAAACAACTTACATTGAAAGAAATGTTTAATAAAGTAAACAAATAAATATTAAGCTCTTTTTTTTTTTTTTTTTTTTTTTTTTTTTTTTTTTTTTTTTTTAAATTTTGATACCCTTCATAAATTACAGTTTCATATTTTTAATTTTAAAATTTCTGCATGCCATTTTACCAGATTTAAACTGATGATCTGTAATCCAGAAAAATCGATAATCCGGAATCGCCGAAGTCCCGACCAGTCCGGATTAACGACTTTTGACTGTTACAGTTTTAATGTATTGACAGCCAGTATTGCATTGTATAAAATATTGTATATAGCCAACAAAAATACACAAATCTTGGGCAGTATTATTTGCTCATGGACATTCTTTTTTACACAAAGCTACAAAGGCTAGCCTCAAAGCTACAAACTTTCTGCGGACCTCAAAGCTACAAACTTTCTGCACATGCGTAAATGCATTATGCATTTCATTAACTGAAATAGATAAATTAGATAATTTTAACTTAGCTTATACCATTCGTTACACATTAAATGCACATGCGTAAATGCATTGTGCATTTACGCATGTGCATTTAATGTATAACGAACGGTATAAGCTAAGATAAATTATCTAATTATCTATTTCAGTTAATGTTGCAGATTGCATTGTTCCTTAATCTTCTAATTGAATCCGGCTTATTATTTTTAGCAGACTGTTAGAGCAGTTTTATAAAAGTAAGCTTGAACTTTCGATTATGTCAAAAACAATTTGATTCTGGAGCTGCCAAAGGATCTACAAAGCGAAAGCATGTTTTGATGTCTATCAAACAAAAAGTGGCTGCAAAAAATGGATAAAAGCATATCCTTTGTTTTCCCTACCATTCCGAAATCTGTTTATCAATTTCACGCTGCTCTGCGGGGGGAACCTCGTGACACGCAATTAACTGGAACTTGATCTGTCAGCACTATCCTTATCTTCAGCAATGTCATTTGGTAAAATATCATTATCATTATTTAAAACATTGTCATTTACTTCTTCTTTATCACTATCTTCTGCAATTTCTTGGGGGGGGGTCAACAACAACAACATCAGTTTACCGTTCTAGTCATTATTAACATTATCACCATCTGTTTCTTCATCAAAAAATCTTTCAATGGCTTATTCTAATGTCAGATACCCCATTATAGGCATTTTTAAAACAGCCAGAACATGAACCAGAACATTGAAAGGAATGAGTAAAAAAGGAGATTACCCGTTTTTTGCTTATGTTGCGGCAGCGCAACACCTGTCTTCCTTTCCTTCACCAACACAAATATAAACATCTGATTCATGTAATTTTCTGATAAATGGTGACCTTGACTAAAAATAGATCACTCATAAAGATGGTGATTCTTTCGTTAAATATTCTTGGCAAAAATACCCGGTCGAAAATTTTTCTTAAATTTTGCTTAAAGTATGAGATTAATTATTATAAATAAAATGATTGTTGTAGGCAAATATTTTTAACAGAAATAATCTTCATAATATTCCCTACACAAATTCATCTGCTGGTACAAAATATCTTAGGTAGTTATACAGTCAAAAGTCTTTAATCCGGACGTCCATAATCCGAAATAATCTATAATCCGAATCTCAAGCTACAAACTTTCTGCGCATGCGTAAACGCATAATGCAATTACGCATGTGCATAATACCTTTACGCATGCGCGTATGCGTTTACGCATCTGCATTTAATGTATAATGGACGGTATAAGCTAAGCTAAAATTATCTAATTATCTATTTCAGTTTATGTTGCAGATTGTGTTGTTCCTTAATCTTCTAATTGGATCCAGCTTATTATTTTTTGCAGACTGTTAGAGCAATTTTATAAAAGTAAGCTTGAACTTTCGATTATGTCAAAAAGAATTTCCGATTCTGGAGCTGGCAAAGGATTTACAAAGCGAAAGCATGTTTCGATGTCCATCAAACAAAAAGTGGAAAAAAGTGGAATTACTGCAAAAAAATGGATAAAGGCATATCCTTTGTTTCTCTAACCATTCCGAAATCGGTTTATCAATTTCACGCTACTCTGCGGGGGGAGGGGATGTCATGGCCCGCAATGAACTGGAAGTTGATCTGTCAGCACTATTCTTATCTTTAGGGCAGATTTTTTATTTTATTCAGCTTATAATTCCTTACTAAATGTAGTTTTTTCATCTTGATGTACTCTGTCTTTGATATGATTTAAATCAAATTTCTTGTCATTATAAATATCACGAATACACATCAAATAGTTGTCTGGTTGCATTTTTCTAATTTCGACTATGTGTAATGTATGCTTTACGCATGTGCGTGTTGAAAGAAATATTTAATGAAGTAAACAAATAAATATTAAGCTTTTTTTTTTTTTTGATAAAGTTTGATACCCTTTAGATCATAATTGCTTTTCATTTCATAAATTACGGTTTCATATTTTTAATTTTATAATTTCTGCATGCCATTTCACCAGATTTAAACTGATGATCTATAATCGAGAAAAACCTATAATCTGGAATTGCCAAAGTCCAGATGAGTCCGGATTAAAGATTTTTGACTGTTTTCATATACGCATTTATTTTGACCGTCACGTCAATGCAACACCAGCGGCTAATGGCTTAAAGGAGAAAAAAATTTTCCCCATTATATATCGCGCAAATAAAATGAGCATGCATGACACAAGCGTTGAAGAATGATTGGTTTGAAAATCATTTTATACCCGAGGCTTGGCGACATTTGAATTGAGTTGGTTTGCCTGATGACTCAAAAATAGTCCTGATTGTTGACATCTGTTCAGTGCATACTTCACTTAAAGTTTTAGGTAAAGTTAATGTATCCGTATTAGTCTTTCCTCCAAATTGTATGCCTATCATTCAGCCTATAGATATGGGAATAGTGCATGCACTGAAATGCAAATATAAAGTAGCATTTTTAAAAATCTATGTTAAATTTCTTGATCTATTTAAAACTTTTTGAAATTTTTTAGCATAAAATCTGCTGTGTTAAGCATCGCGAGATCGTGGGAGGATGTGTCTCCAGATACGTTAAAAAATGCTTGCCATAATTTATGGCCAACTACCATATTTCATGGTGAGGACGATGGAAATGATAACCCCGAATTTGAAGGTTTTCGGGCATCGCAAACTAAAGGTGAAATTTTCCAGTTATTGCATTTTGTAAAGAAATGTGTAGAAGCGGTAATAAATGAAGATGATATAACAGAAGTTTTTCATTGCGACAACAATGTTCCAATCATCAACCAATTAACGGATGGCGAAATCTGTAGTATGGTTCTAGATCCAGAAAATACCACTTTCAATAGTGAAGAAAGTGACAGAGAGGTTATTGAAAATGAAAAAATTTCGATTGGCAAGTTAGTCGGTATTCTGGACACAGCAATTACAGGACTTTAATGGTGGAACTTTGAATAAGAAATTATATCTGTCTACAGAATTAAAGAGAAAATATTAGCACAAAAAATGAAGCAGCTTAAACAATTTACTTTGAAAGAAATGTTTAATAAAGTAAACAAATAAATATTAAGCTTTTTTTTTTGTAAGTTTTGATACCCTTTAGATCATAATTGCTCTTTATTTCATAAATTACGAAAATTTATTTCATTAATTCATATTTTTAATTGTATATTTTCTGCATGCCATCTTACCAGATTTAAATTGATGATCTATAATCTGGAAAACCCCCTAATCCGGAATCGCCGAA